CAAGGCAAAAAAAAGGGGGGGGAGAGGAGAAGGAGACAATTATCAATACAGAGCGCTCGATCGCGATACATATATAGATTTATTTATTTTTTAACCAAGCCCATCCCTTCCCCCTCGCCCTCACCCCACGGCAATGTCCAAGGGCTTGAAGAAGAAAAGCCACTGGACCAGCCGAGTCCATGAGTGTGTCATCGTGAGGAACCAGGAGGGCCAGCTGGGCTTCGAGCTAAAAGGGGGAGCCGAGAACGGGCAGTTCCCGTACCTGGGGGAGGTCAAGCCGGGCAAGGTGGTCTACGAAAGCGGCGGCAAGTTGGTGCCCGAGGAGCTCCTCTTGGAAGTGAACGAGACCCCCGTGGCCGGGCTCACCATCCGGGATGTGTTGGCCGTGATCAAGCACTGCAAGGACCCCATCCGGCTCAAGTGTGTCAAGCAAGGTAAGGGCAGGAGAGGCCGGCGGAGACCCAGGAGGGGGTCTTGGGGTGCGCGGCGGCCCGGCGGCGGCTCTCGGGAAAGGAACTTTTTGTCACTTTGGGGCACTTGGATCTCCCCCCCCTTCCCCCTTGGCGCTTTGGGGGGGGGCAGGGCAGGCGGCGAGGCATCCCTTGTGCGTGGACCGGGTGGCACGCCTGGTGGTGCGTGGCGCGGGGCGATAGTCCATGTGCGTCAGTGGCCGCAGCTGGGTCGGGCTGTCCAGGCGCCGAGAAAGTTCGGGAGGGCCCAGCCGGGACACATCCGCACCCGGGACGGACGCCGGCAGGAACCGGGAGAGGAGGCGTGTGTGTATGGGCCGGGCTGGAAATGTGACTCCTGGGATCTGCTCCCCTTTCTTCTGATCCTGCTCCCCACGATCTCCCCCTCCCGCTCCTAAAGCTAAGTGTCAGAAGGCCGGAGGAGATGAGAGGGAGTTCTTCTGAGCGAGTGCAGAGTGTCCGTCTCTTCAGTCGTTGGCTGCAGCCTTTTCTCCTCGGGATACATAGGGATTCAAAGCTTCAGTCCACGCCTGAGAGGAAACTCTCGCAAGATGTTTGCGTGTTTCTGAGCCGATGTCCCCTTCGCCGAGCGGCAGTCCTGAAACCGAGCCTCCAGTGGGTTGCGTCGGATGGAACCAAAGCCGTAGGATCTGCCTGCGCGGCTTTGAGGACAGATGGCCCGGCACACGGGCAGGCTTAAGCCTTGCCTCCCTCTGCCCCGGCGTGCCTTCCCGCAATAAGTCCTGGATCTGGATACCAGGAAGCTATTCGAGGAATGTATGCGATTTGGGGCTTTAAAAAAAAATGCAAGTGGAATGGTAGCGGCAACGAATGCATGCCCTGGAGAAAGAGGAAGGAGGGAAGGAGGAGGAAAAGTATGGATAAACATTATGACAGCTCTTAAATAAAGAGTGTTCCTTGAAGTGATTAACCCTCCGGGATAGTGTTGGTAGACTGGGGGGGGGGCGAGATACTGGACCAGGCTGTGCTGTTTAAAAAAAAAAACACCCTGCAATGTGCAAGACGGAGCATTTCAGTTGCTTGGGTTGATGACAGTTCTCTTTCCGAGTGTGGATCTCCATCCAGTGGGAAGGCGGGACCAGGTCTAGGGCGGGGGCTTGATTTAGGAGCTGGGTGTTCCCCGGGATCCACATAATAGGGAAGGCCCTTTGCCCAAAGGCCTGGCTTGGGCAGACCTTGACGTCTCTCAGCGCTTCTCTCCTGCAGAAACCTTCTGAGCCCCCTCGCCCTGCCCCTCTCTCTGGACTGAAAGCCAGACTTGAGACCTACCGCTAGAAAAGTGTCATTGATATTTACCGTTTTTAAAGGGCAGCAGGTCAGGTTGAGACTCAAGGAGGGATTGTGGCAACAGAGGAAACAGGCTTAAACATGCTTAGTTTCTTTCTGTTTGTTTTGGTGTTATCCTTGTACATCTGCCTTCAAAGTGCATAGGGCAGACAGCAGTGAAAGATTGTGAAAGAAGGCCAGCAATAAGATATATTTTGATAGGAGAGTTGAAGGAGCCAGAATTGGCATGCTTCAGTGAAAAGCTTCCTCTGTGTGTGTGTGTGTGTGTGTGTGTGTGTGTGTGTGTGTGTGTGTGTGTGTGTGTTTATGTCAGAAAAAAGATTGGTAGTAAGGTAAGGTAAAGTAAGGTAAAGAGTTTTGTCTTTGCTGTAGCCAAATAGAGCTAGGCAAGGCAACTGACCTGTAGGAAACAGCGGAAGGTTGTTAATTATAGAAACACCAATCCCTGTCAAAATTGTAATTGGAAAACTGGCCTCAAGTCTTAGACCCCCTAATCTAAGAGAAATAGAAGCTTAAAGTATAAAGGTTCTTTGGGGGTATATCTATGGGGGGGGGGAGAAGGCTGATTTATACAAGATTTAACTGTAGTGTGTCTGTGGAACTTGGTTGTAGTGTTGTGTGGTTCTTGTGAATACTCTGTAAGAGATTTGCAGGGCTCCCTGAGGCTGCAATGTAACCTGACTTAATAGACAAGCATAGGACTGCACTGTTAAGTGACAAATTCTAAAGTCCTGCAGGGAAATTATCCCAGTTAACCAAGCTTGAGTTTGTAGGATGAGGGTTTCTTTAGAAAGTAATCTTAGGGCATACGATGCTCATCTGCTTAAAATTTGCACAAACAACTGACGGTGTGCATAACAGTAATTTGATATTGACATGATAAAAGCAGCATACATAGTAATAAACAAGCTTAATGGGTAACTTTTTATCTTTCCAATGACATTCGACATCCAATGGTATGACTTAGATACATCTTTGGCTGACTATATGCAATGATCTCTATGTTTCTGTTTGCCTCAAATGATGAATCTAAACCAAAGTTTGAACCAACTATTTAAATATTATGGATGTTTTTCTCATAGCAATGCCAGGCCTGATAGCTATTATATATTGGGTTTTGCACAATGAAGTGGCATTTGATAGGCCAAATCTCTTTGTTGCCTCCCACTCACATGACAGTTAAGGGGGGGGATATTTTTTTAAAAAGGCTTTATCTTGTAAAAGAGTGTTTGAGAACTTGGATTGGTTATATATTGTTATTATTCTACACGTTTACTGATTCTGGTGGCATATATTGTATCTTGCATAAATTAAATTCCTGATCTTAGTTTTCAGCTTTTTAGATACTTTCAGATGAACTGCAATGACAAATAAATGTTCATGGCATATTACCTGTTGATCTCAGTCTTACTTTTGCCTAAACATAAAATAAATGAAAATATTCTAAAGTAGCTTCTGTTTTTATATATTGCTGGAGCTGCATATCATTATATAAAAGACTTATGCCCAGGCTTTAGTATAAGCTTTAGATTAGATCACCTGTTCCTTGTAGTAAACTGGTCCTGTCTTCTCTATCCTGAGCTGGGAGTTCATTTAAAGGGAGTAAGTTACATGACTCAGATTTCTTAAAGAAAAGGCATGTCCCAGTTTGTACACACTTCATCCTGCTTCATCTCCTTTTTTTAGCACTAAACTTCCCTTGTTCAGTGTGTGTGTGTTATTTGTCAGACTAGAAATGTATTCCTGAATGTAACACTTCGAAATATGTGAGTCAGTAGTGTTGTACTGGGCTTGTTTGTATAGTCACTTACAGAGTGACAGAGGAACTGGGCACTGGGTTCTACAGCAGTCACATTCACTGGATGCTTCAGTACAAATGATCTTGTCATAGAACATGTTACAGACCTGAACAGTTTGGGACTAGTTACCTGACAGAGCATCTGTCCCTAAGATTGTCCAGCCAGGCCACTCAGTCCAGCCAGGTTTCACAGTTGCAGGTGGCTAGCCCTAGAGAGGCCTGAAAAACTACCACCAGGATCTTGGTTTTCTCACTGGTGGCTGCAATGCTATGGGATGCATTACCCATCGATATATGCCAAGCTCCCTCCCTCCACGCCTTTAGGAAACAGATAAAAACTCTCTTGTTTGAAGAGGACTTCAGAAACATCTTACCCCTTTGACATTCCCATGGATCCATGAATTTGATATTTATTCTGATCGGCCATTGCTGCTAGGTTTGTTTTATATTTTAGGTTATTACTGTTTTGATTTGGATTTCATTATCTGTGTCTTTGTGGGCTGTGGTGGGTGGTTGTATTTTTAATTGATGTTAGGCTCCTGGAATAGTACTTGGGCACTAGAAGGTCAGGATAAATAAATAAAAATAAATTAATTTATTTCTATCTATCTATCTATCTATCTATCTATCTATCTATCTAATCTAATCTAATCTAATCTAATCTAATCTAATCTAATCTATCTAATAATCCTTTTCAACTTTTCATATTGCCTTTCAATGCTCTAAGCTGCCTTGGGTCTTTTTTAAAGGAGAAAGGTAGGGTAAAAAGATTTTAAATAGGTATCTCAGCAGATTTTGATACCATTGACCACCGTATCCTTCTGGACAGGCTGTCTGAGGTTGGGATTGGGGTTTAACATTGAGCTGGCTCTGATCCTTCCCTGAGGACTGTGTCCAGAGAATTCAGCTAGGGGAGGAGGTGTCGGCACCTTGGACCCTTCAGTGTGGCATTCCTTAGGGATAGGCACTATCCCCAATGCTTTTTAATATCTATGTTAAGTCATTGGGGGAGGTCATCAGGAGTTTTGAAGTAAGGTATCACGTTGATGACATGCAGTGGATGGCATCTGGACACTGGAGCGTTGCCTTGTTTCAGTACTGGGATGGACCAGGGATAACAGGCTCATACTGAACCCAGGCAAAACAGAGATTTGCTCCCTGGGGGGACCTCCAATAGGTCCCCCCAGGATGGCCCCTGGGCTGGATGGTATCCCCCTCCAGTTTAGAGACCAATTTGGGTGTTCTTCTGGACCCAGCTCTCTCTTGGGAGTCTGAGACTGAAGCCATGTCCAAATCAGCTTAGGCTAATTGCCCAACTTTGCTCCTACCTAGACAAGGACTTTATCAGGACTTTGGTGCAGGCCCTGGTCATCTCCTGGATCTACTACTGCAATGCCGTCAATGTGGGGCTTCCCTTGAACCTGATCCGGAGACTTCAGCGGATCCAGAATGTGGCATCCAGACTGGTAGTTGGTGCAAGTAGATTTGACCACATCACTCTAGTTCTGGCTTGCCTCCACTGGTTGCCCATGGCGTCCTGGATCAGGTCCAGGGTTTTGACACTCGCATACAAAGCCCTCCATGGTTTGGGCCCATGTTACTTGTTGGAGCATTTCTCCTTAATGTCATCTGCCTGACCCACAAGGTCATCCCAGTCTAGGCTCCACCAGGTGGCCACCCCGAGGGAGGCTCATAAATCCTTTACAAGAGGTAGGGCCTTTGTGGTGGCGCCAACCTTATGGAACCACCTTCCGGAGAAGCTCCGCCTAGCCCCCTCCCTCTGGACTTTTAGGAAGCAATTAAAGACACTGCCTTTCAGGGAGGCTTTCCACACCAACCCCAGCTGACCTCTTTTTCC